AACGCGCAAGCTGCAAGTGCTGCTGCTGGCGACCGTGTAAATGAACACTGCAGCACAACTGCCCTTCTTGCCAAAGGCAGCAGTGTCCCACAGGACCAGCCATGACCTCTGGGCCTGAATCCCCATAGCTCCTCAGCACCTCTATGCTACTGTCCAGGGCCACCCTCTGCTTCAGTTTGGGAAGTCTCACGGCACTTGGGCTCTTCGCTGCACAAGGAGCAGTGATGTATCCCCAGGTGCCGGTGGCCCCCAGGAAGCCCAGATCCTTTCCCCAAGAGCAGCAGCTTGGGGGATATCTGGCATTTCACCAGGCTTCCTGCTGCCCTGTCATTGCTGTGGCCTCAGTTACAAATCTCTGCACCCTTCTTTATAAGTGAAAACCTCTTTATCTTCCCAGTTAGCTGCAGAAAGTGACAAGGGACTTGCAGAATCCTCTGATATCTCTACGTTCTTTCCGTTAGTTTCATATAAGCACAGAAACCCCAAACCACCTTCTGTTGGAGCACTCTACCTGGGATTTCCCACCAAGTCAGCAGGCTGCTCTGTGTGCCGGGAGCAGTGCCCTTTCTCCGAAAGCCCCAGCATTACCTGGGGACCAGCACAGCTCCTGCCACTGTGCTGAGCCTTCGCACATGCCCGTGAGCTTGGCTTGCCTGGCCGCCTCCTGCGTCTGGGCAGACAGACCCTCCAGGGACAGAGCCCGTCCATTGCTTGGCAGGCTGTCCCCTTCTCTAGCCTGCAGAACCAAGGATATTTCCTTCTGTTCCCCCAAAGAGACAGTCAGCCTGCGGGCAGGAGTCCAGCAGGAGCCTCTGAAAAAGACAAGACTCTGCTGCCCCTGTCTGTGGCCCTTCACCCCAGAGCATGTCTGAAGGTTCCTAATCTGGCTGTGCCTCACACCCTGGAGCCAGTGGCACCTCAGAGGCCCCCCTCAAGCAGCAAGGCTGCCCTTCTCCCAGTGCAGGCTGGCGCTGCTCCACCTGAAATCTCTTACACTTTGGGAAACAAATCTCTCCTCTCCTGCCTTCCTTTTCTTCCTCTAGCACTGTAGAACCTACCTCCATCTCCCCCCAGCCTCAAGAATGATGCCGTGGCCTCCCACATGGTCCTTGCCCTGAGGGTCTCATTGTGCCCTGCCTGTTTTCTGATGGGCAGCTACCATCAAGGGTCACAACCCAGTCAGGAGGTGCCATATGATCCATCCTTGTTTCAGCTCTGTGGAGGCACTGTGGAGCACCCAAAGACCAGGGCGCTTGCTGTGGCACTGCACCTTCCCAGTTCCCTGTCTGCTGCCAGGCCGTTTGCTTTTCTTTGGCTTCCCTCTTTTCAATGGGTGCATTTTTCAGTAGAGTCCTGGGCACAGAGCTGTATCCAGCCCTGTTCCCGATTACTGTCCTATCAGTTCCGAAGATCTTAGCAGGCTTTTCTCTGTGTGGACTGCTCAGAGGAGATGATGTGATGGGTCACTGAGTTAATTTGAGGGCACCTGGCATGTCTTACAGCTCAATCTACAAATGTCACCCCACAAGCATCCCTGCACAAGCGGAATTAGGATGTGGCTCTTTCTCCTGGAACTTGACAATGCCTGGAGGAACCACCTGCTCCTTGGTGCAGAAGTGCATTTGCAGCGTGCCTGCATGGCAGAGGTCTGACACCAGGGTGATGCCTTGTGCCCTGCAGAGTTTATCCTGCATTTCAGAAACATTTTTCTCTCTTGCTGTCCCATCTGGTTTCTTACTAAGAATGGAGGTGACACAGGGACATCATGTCTGCAGGGCCCATGTCTGCAGCTCTGGAGACAAGCTCCTTATCCTGGAGATAAGGAAAAGCAAGGCCAACCTGTTCCCTTCTCTGCTTTCTCCCCAGGGTGACAAAGAAGAGACTTACCGAGAGCTGGAGAACGTCCTGCGGGATGATAACAACTGCTTGCAGAGCACTGTCCTGGGCAGGCTGATCGTGGTGGCCTCAAAGGACATGAGAGCTGCCCAGGTAAGCTGCTGCTCTCTGAAGGCAGCTAGAGATATCTGGCAAGGACCCAGTTTTGTCAAATGTAGGAGGCCTCTGAAGACATGTCTCTAGTGGTAAAACCTGTCAGAGGTGCCCGGGTCCCTTGTGACAGCTCCTTCTCGGTGAGGGAGAAAAGACCATACCTAGCGCTGCTGCAGAAGCAGGGAAGAGGGGGAACACCTCTCTATCAGTGGCATATGTGCCCAGGGCTGGTGGCAGAGTGGGGATGTGTGGGGTTATGACTCCTGCATCAGCAAGTGTTTGCTGGAGGGAAAGGCCTTGGGGACTCACCAGTGCAGTGGATATGGGGGAGCAATACCTGGAGCTGTGTGGGGAGGCGGCTGAGGCAGGAGCCAAGAACTGGAGGCAGGCAGTCACTGCTGACACTCAGCCTGTCTGTCTGCCTCAGCCTTTCTCCCGCTGAGGGGGTCATCTTTGCTCTCACCAGGGTGTGACGGAGGATGTGCAGACGGCCGCCAGCAACGTCCTGGTGGCTCTGGCCCGCTCGCATTTTGAGAGTGTCATGTGCGAGCTCCAATGCCACCTGAGAGCCCTGGGAGAGATCTCCCAGGACTTCGTGTTCATCACCTTGGGCAAGCTGGCCAGCAGCTACGGTAGGATCCCTTGCTTCGGGGCGATGGTCTGTGGTACCCAGCAGAAGGGATCCTCCACACACACCCCAAAATGCTCCATGCTGAATTGGAGGCTGCAAGGTTTTGGGGCCCCTTGCTTGCTGCCGGGGCTGGCCAGGGGCCCGGAAATAGTCCCAATGCCAGTGTGCTATGGACGAGACCAGTCAGAGAGCCAAGGTGACCTCTCGTGTCCCTCACAGGGATGTCCTGTTCCCCACCTAGGGCAGGCATCAGCACCCCGTGAAGCCCCATGAGCCTTCCCCATGCCAGTAGCCAACCTCTCAGGCAGCTCTGGCACCTCCCTGACCTGCCAGCGCATTCGCGGGGCCCAGCAGCCCACAGGCCCATGCCCCCACACTGCCTCAGGGTTTGCCCTTTGCACTGCTTTGTCTCCTGACGAGAGGCAGCCGTGCTCTGTGCATGTGCCCTGCCCTCTCCGCAGCCCTGAGGTGCATCCCTTTCGTGGCAATGACGTTCTTCGCCCTGCACACGATGCGGAGCCAAGTGGGCAGTAGCCGGACCCTGTGCGCTGTCTGCAGTGGTGAGTGGCAGCCCCGTGAGGAGGGGACGGGCTGGGACAGCCTCGGTGCCCAGGCAAAGGCAGCACAGCGAGGTCTCCTCCCCAGTACTGACTCTGACCTGATGCTTCTTGGCTTCTTTCACTGCAGTCCTGGAGCAGTGGTCGAAGGCTGTAAACACTTACCTGCGCAACTGGGAGAAATGCACCTTCCCGCGCATGAGGGAGGCGCAGTTCTGCAGCAGCATTTACCCGCTCTTCTGCCACGTGGTGGGGAGCTGGCTGGACTGCGAGGACGAGGAGGTGAGAGCGGCTGATGTCTCAGCCCTGCGATGGCAGCAGCAGTGTCTGGCTCTGTCTGTCTTTCTGTGTGATGAATGTGTTGGAGGAGAGGTGCGAGCAGGATGTCTGATGTAGTGCCCAAAGCTAAGCCCCACTGATATGGTGGCAGTGTGGATGGGGACAGCTGACAGCCAGTGAGCGGGACTGCAGCTTCAGGCACTGCCTGTGCCCAGGAGCAGGGTGCCAGGGGCTGCCCTGCTGGGAACCAGCCAAATCCAGGGGGCAAGAGTGGGGCAGGGGCAGAGATGTTTCTTGTCCTCCGGAGCAAGCTCTTGTCCTCCAGGAGAAGCAGGAAAATGCCTCTTTGTGGGGAGGTCAGATCGTGTTGAGATGGAAGGACCTTTGGCCCCATTAAGAGCATCTTGCTGCCCTCCTTGCAGGTCAAGCAGGCAGTCTTGGGGGCAATGGCTGCCATGATGGGCCTTCTCCTGCACGAAGAGGAGCATCACAGATGTGTGTGGGAGCAGTTGCCCTGGTTCCTGGGCCAATATCAGCATGTCCAGGACACTTTGTGGGTGACCAAGGTGGGGTGTCATGTAGGACACGGTGTGGCCATGGGGTCTGTGCATGTGCTGTGAGTTGTTGGGGGTCTGTAGGAGCTGGGACCCCTGAGAAGAAAGGGAAGAATTAAGCGAGGCTTCAGGCACCAGAGTTGGTTTTCCCCCACCAGGTTGGGGGAAAAGGGAGTTGAGTGTCCCTGGGGCCCTGTTGTCTCAGGAAGGGAAGCCTCAACCCCTGTCCCTGGGGTGCTGAGAGTGCAAGAGCTCTGCTCTAATGGCAGGGCGCTGCCGGGCCCCGTCTGGTGGGGAGGGAAGGTGTGAGGGGTGTGAAGTGCCTGTCCAGAGAAAGGGCCCTCTAAAGCTGGTGCTGGAAGGACACACAAGAAGCCCCATACAAGAAGTTTTTTTTTTTTTTCCTGGGTACTGGAGTTAAGGACTTGATCACAGAAATGCTGTTTCCTTTCCTAAAACATTGTTTTAGGTGATGGCCCTGCTCTTCCTCCCCTGTTTCCTTTCAGGGTCTCCATTATTTCCTTAAGATTTTGGGGGAAGTGGAGATCATCATCCCCAAGGACACGGCTAAGGCCATTGGCACTGCTGTGCACAACCAGGTAAGAGCAACCTGACTTTGTACCGTTTGTGCTGGGTGCAGCAGACCT